CTCTTTCCTAAGTCCTCTAATCACAAAGAAACACTTCAGCTTTTCTTCACCCGCAATGAAAAATTGTATTTGAGTATAACTGAAACAACCATTAACACATTTAACTTACAGTATCTGAATTTTCATAAGTTTTATTTAAAGTAGTAGAATGTGTTTTATCCAAAGGACTTTTTATAGATGACAAACTATTGCTGTAAAACTAAGTTCTGCCCTCCTTCTGTGCAAATTCCTGTGTACCCTTTGACTCATTATAGGCTGGGTTTCACAGCAGATTCATCAGTAGCACTGATTTAACAAGAATGTTCTATTAACATAAATACTGCATTTTTATTACATTATAATTTCAGATGCCTTGGTTTATTAGATATACTCCACTGAAATCACGGTGAGAAGATGTACTCCATTATACTAATGATTTTGCTTTTGATAATCAACAACAGATTAACAGAAGCAATGGGCAAAAAAATTGAATCAACTCAGTAATACAATATCACACGTACACAAAACTGTACTAATTCATTTTAAATCATGTTACTGAGCACTTTTAATATATCTCAATAGAGAGAAAACATTTCAGAACAAATGAAATCATAAACTCTTCCTGAAGATAGCAAGTTTTAATCCTGGAGCCACACAGAAATTTGTTTTCAACACTGCAGGACAAAAATGTGGTTTTCTAGAACTTGAATTATTAAATTCAGGGGATTCTAACTTTGCTTTGAAATTTCAAAGCAAGGTGGTCAAGTCTAGGAGGAAAAGGAAAGAAGACTGTTTCCCAGAGAGTGGATCTGTGCGAGGGCCCAAACTGGTCAGTGTAGTCCTAAGTGATCTGGAAAAGGAGGTGTTTTGGGAGGTGGCAGGATTTACTGAATACAAATTAAAATTATTCAGCATGGTAAAAGAAAACATGCCTGCATGGTTCTCATGATTTTGAATATCTAGGTAATAAAATGGAAGATTAAATTCTCTGTAGATAAATACAAAACATATGTGAAACAGGAAATTACAACCAAAGAACGTCAGACTGTGTGCAAGCTGTTGGCACTCTGGAAAGAGAGTAGGTAATTCTGTGCAAATGTTGCATTGGTATTCAGTAATGATGAGAGAAAAAGCAAATAACAGGAGGACAAGCCTACAGCGAATCAGAAATATCATTACATTGTTGTGTCCATAGTGCACCTGAATCTTGACGACTGTAGGCAGGTCAATATTGTCAATATTGTGATGTCCCATATAAAATGGGTAACATGTGAGTAGAGATACTAACCAAGGCCACTGGATGATTGCATATGTGGACTGATAGATGAATAGATGACTAGGACTAAATGAAGCAACCCAAAGAAGGCTAACCCCAAGATCAATAAAGTCAGAAGCACCATAAAGAAAATGGATAGGAATAGTCAGTGTCTCTTCTGTCATCAAGATGACACGACACATTCAGTGATGTTCTCAAGGTTCAAAAATAGAAAAGGAAACACATATCTGAACCACAAAATTTACTGTCGCAGGAAGAGGCTGATGGTAAAATGTGGCATGGCTTCAAAGAGTGAGCCAACAACTTAGTGGGAGACAGTGCTATGTCAAACATAAAGCTATGCTTTCTTCACAACATTGCTATACTGCAGTCTCCTGGAGCCCCAGCTGAGGCTACATCACAGTATGTCCTTATTGTCTTACACCTCTGCCTCGGCTTCTATAGGTACTGCAGGGATAGGGTATTATGTCAAATGAACATTTAGTCTGACGTGATACAGCCACTTCATATTCACTGAAAGCAGTGAACGGGAGTTGTCTTCAATATTATGCATGGAGGCACAACACGTAGTTTTTTTCATATTGCATGACTTTGTGACTTTTCTGAAGAATCTGCTGTCTTCTGAACAGTTCTTATAGCACAACTAATGCAAGAGTTGGCAAGGAGTTCTGCTTGCCTCTTTCATGCCAGCTGAAACTAGATGTTGGCAAGAAATGTGAATAATCTAATCATACTCTGAGGAACTCTGAACTGCAAGCAGGAAAAAAAAACGAGAAGAAACAAATTAGAATAAGGCAATGTTTTATTATCATGGCAGAGAAATACAATAGCTAATACGTAAGCACAATGTAATTTGCATTGCAAGCTCTGAAATCATTGTAATCTCTGTGATTTACTGATGTAATAAAATAAGAAAGTTCTTACTACATATACACAAAAGCCCAATCCAACCTACTTTATTATTACAAGACTACCACATATTAAAAGATTGAATGCAAATGTTTTTTTTTAAATTAACACAATTTTTCTTTGAGCATTAAGACAATTTCTCCCATTTAACAGAGAAGACATGGAACTTAATCCTCCATCCACTCTAGCTCTTCCTAAATCTACAGTAGTACTAAACTGTTGACCATTTTATCTAAACTGGATTTTTAATAAATTTAGAAATACGATGAAATAGAACTATTTCTGTCCTTTCTTCACCCTGCTCTTTAGAGCTTAGCACTCCTAAAGATGAAGATTTATCCACTATTTCCAGTGACTTCAGGGATATTTTATCCATATGTAAAATCTAGTGTTTGAGATGATATTGTTTAGCTAAACAAGAACAAGCTGAGTACCTTAATTGAAGGATGAGTTGAAAAAAATTAAAATCAGGGGTCTACAGGCACATTAGGATGTTTGCAATGATGTGTACTATTACAAAATCC